CTGTAAAAATTACAAGCCAAGAAAACCTTATGGAGTAGTTCTACACTGTATCATATGGGGTTTGCCATGAGTCAGAGGCTGACTTGGGTGGCAGCTAACAATATGATCATAAGAAAAATACACTAACAACAAAAAAAGCACAAAACCCACTCTGCCCAATCACCTGCCTTCCAGAACTATGCTGTGCTGTGAGCCAGAAAGTACACAATTCATGCCAGATTGTCCTTTCAGAAACATCTCCCCTTTTAGCTGTTGATGTATCATAGACATCAGAATAACACTGGGCTTTGAAACCATCTGCTGGTATCATCGATTTTCAGGAGAGAAGGCAGGTTCCTCCCTCAGTGCTTGTGACTAAGGCTATCCTGTGTGGAAACAGGCAGCTGGTTGCCTAGGAATTCACTGGCTCTTGGCAGTTTGTTTCTCATTCTACTTGAAGCCACAACCCTCTGTCGGCTTGAGTTATCATTATTCATCTCCAGAGTCCTGGAGTGTCATGACACACAAAGAGAAATTATTTCAAACACCTTTTAGAGATTCTTACCAAGTGGAAAAAGATTCAGTGACAGTTACATGACTAACAACTCAGTTAAGTAAGTAACACTCACTTCGGTAGTTTCACTGGCCATTTTTTAAATGTGTTTTTTTTTTAAACCAGAGAAATTTATTTATTTATTTATTTCCTCCAAATTACTGATGTAATACATGCTCATTGTAACAAGGCAAATAATTTAGAGATGTATAAATTTCCATCATCTTTCTCTCCTTCTTCCAACCCCATGTCCCTGAGATAACTCAGTATAAGAGCCTAATATGGATCATTCCATGTTTTATTACCATGCTTATCCAGTCTTATACAAACATGCATATAAATAATATATCCCAGTTTTGTAATATAATCTATTATAAAACTGGGATAATCTTATATTGTTTTGTTTCTGTGTTTGTTTTTTGAGTTTCCTCAAATGGCTGGTGCTTTAGCCTATCTTTTTCTTTCTTTTTTTTATTTTTGGGTGAAAATATACACAACAAAAGATATACCATTTCAACAATTTCTGCATGTACAATTCAGTAATACTGATTACATTCTTTAAGATGTGCAACCATTCTCACTATCCTTTTCCAAATTAATTTGCCTTTTAATTTAACATTATTATCCTGGGCATCTTTCCAAGCTAATATATACATTTTGACCACATTGTTTTGAATGGCTGTACAGTATTTCATGGTATAATGGTACAGTACTTTATATAACAAGTTTCCTATAGATGAACAATTAGGTTCTTTTCCAGTTGTTTGCTATTATAATGCAACAGTTAACATACTGGTATACATTGCTCCATATATTTATTATGTTTTTATTTCTATAAGATAGATGACTACGCGTGGGAGTATGATGTCAAAGAGTACACACATTCTTAATTTTTTAAAAACTGTTGTCCACTTACGTTCCTGAAAGATTAAGCCAACAGTGACCCTTTTCCCAAGAACTTTGATAATACTGGATGTTATCAACAACACTGTGTTGTTTTAATTTGCACTTCTGTGGGGTCAGTTTAAATATTCCATTGTTATGTTACTGTAGTAATTATTGTAAGTTATACTCATTGCTTGTCAAGAGACAATGGGTTGTTTTTCTACGTTAGTTTTTTTTCCCAACTTGTCTTCTTTTTTTTAACTTTATGTGCTTTAGGTGAAAGTTTCTACATTCATTTTTAAAATCCTGAAGAACAAAAACCTTCTATACTATTTGCTTTTTAAGTGCCCTACGAAGCTACAAATGTTAACTTACCTATTAAGAAACTTAACTTTGCAGTTCTATTATATGAATTAAACTATAGAAGCTATCCATAGGATTGGATTCTAATTTATAATCATTTGAACCAAATGTCAATGTTAACTATCAAAAGAGGTTCTGCCCATCCTCCAACCTAGTTATCACAGTCAAATTAACAAAACATTGACAATCAAGACAGCAACCAAAACCTCTGCAGATTACTACTAAAGGGCAAAATGATAGAGGGGCTGAAATGGGGGATACCTGTTGCCGTTACCATCAAGTCAATTCTGACTTATGGTGACCCCATATATGTCAGAGTTGAACTGCACTCCACAAGGGTTTCAGTGGCTGATTTTTCAGAAGTAGACTGCCAAGTCTTCTTTCCAAGAACTGCAGGGCAGGGAAGGCTTATCTGTGGTGGTAATATTTAAACTGAGATCTGAATATCAAAAAAAGAATCCAGCGTGTGAGAGTTAGGGAAAAAAAGATACTAGGAAGACCCAGTGAAGGAACAGAAAAGCCGGTGTGTCTCGAAAATAGTGAGGGTGTGACAGAATAGTAGGACAGTAGGATAGATTGCAAAGACTGAGGGACAAGTAGATTTTGGGGTAGAAGATAGGAATCAAGTGTCCTGTTTGCATATGTGAAGTCTGTAATGTCTGTTGTATATCTGAACCCTGGTGGTGCAGTGGTTAAAGTGTTTGGCTGTGAACCAAAAGGTCAGCGATTCGAACCCACCAGCTGTTCCTTGGGAGGAAGATGTGGCAGTCGGCTTCCGTAAAGATTTACAGCCTTGGAAACCCTATGGAGCAGTTCTGCTCTGTCCTACAAGGTCGCTATGAGTTGGAATCAAGTCAGTGGTAGTTGGGTTTAGTTTTTTTTTTTTTTTTGGTTATATGTCCAAGGGTAAATAAGCATAAACAACCAAAGGGGACTCTAGAATCCAGAAGGGTCTAGTGCTGAAGATACAGACTTAGGAGACATTGATATCAAGATGCCATTTAAAGCCACTGGGCTTTATGAGCTCACCCAGAGGTCATCCAGAGAAGCAAAGAGTACATATACTGGGCTATAACATCACAGTTACGCACTAAATGTTCTTCAAAAATATAGTGGCACTATACTTTGATTTATGCAAAACATAAGACTTTGAAAATTAGTATCTCTAAAGTTGTAATGTGCATTATTTTAAATAGGTTGAGAGTTCACTGTAAGGAATTGTGCTGAGTTCTTGTAAGGTAAAAATTGTGTATTAAAATGCTAACAATACCTCCCAAGGTATTTTTGTGAGTTCAGATATTTATGTGTCAGGTAGTGGCACTTTAAGTGACCCATGGCTATAGAGATACAGGTACAAAAAGTTCCAGCTTCATGAGTGAACACAGCAAATCGCCACAAAACCTTATGTAAGGCACACAAAGAGTTGGGTAATGAGAGAAATAGTCTACAAAATTCTTACATGAGATAATAACTTACAAACAAATTTAAGTACTTTAAGAATGTATGTCTCCTTAAATTTTGCACTCTAAGCGCTTCTCTTCCCTCATCCTAGTTCCACCCCTGTTGATTCTTTTTAATTAGTCTAAAAATATGTGTATTGTTTCACTTACTCAAATGATTAAAATTCTGAAATGTGCACCTATCAATGAAAATGCTGACATCTAAAATTACAAAGTCCCAATTTAAGCCGTTTGGTTTGAAGAAGCCTTACACATTTGCAAAGATAAAAATTTAAAAAGCAGATCTTAATCTCAGAGTTAACCTTGTCTCATGTGACTGGCTCAAAGAAGAGCACTTTCAAAAAGTAAAAAATAGCTCCACACTGTACATTGTACAGATCCCATATTTCTTTCTTTTCAGGTCTCTTTACAAGTTTATTTTCACTTTCAAGCAATGACTCAGTATCAGAAAGAGTGACTTTCTAATAAAACTGAAACAAAGACGCAAAAAAATTCCCTCAAAGATCAGTTTTGTTTGAAGTCACTAAACAAGTGCCAGAGGTTTTCCCAAGGAAGTAGCTGAAAAACCCTTCAAATATTTAGCGGCTTGGGGAAAAAGTATTGACATATTAAATACAAGTTGAATATCTTGACCTATGAAAAAGCAATTGAAGTAGAGAATCCATCTACATGATTATTTAAAAGCATAATTTATAAGAACATACAGATATTATAAATATGGAATATGAAAAACCTTCATTAAATCCCAATAAATAAATACAATATGGTGAGTAGTTATTTTCTTGACATTTTACTTTTATTCTTAAAAAAAAAAAAAAAAGATAATAAACTGAATCAATTCAACAGGAAACAAAGAATAAAACAGAATAGACCTAAGGGAAATGGCAGTTTGCACAGTGACAAAACCAAGTAATGAAGAAAAAGTTTACTTTTAAACACCATTCACATTTCTCTGGCTCTGATTGTCCTATTCATATAATTAGCTGTTTACAGAAAATTTAGTTTCAACAACAGCTAAAAGGACAATGTTTCAAAACTCAGGGAAAAATGTAATTACAAAAATGTAGATATTTTGATTCCACAAAAATCTATATTTTAAAATTAACTTCATAGCATTTTAAGTAAACTAAACTGTGTAGTCTAAAAACTTAATTTCCAATTCCTATTTCATACTGTAACATGCTAATAAAATGCAGATGAACTTAAATGCAAAGTCTATACTTTACATAAATTACTACATTTAAAAAAAAAAACAAAAACAAACCCATTGCTGTCAAGTCAATTCCGACTCATAGCGAGCTTATATGACAGAGTAGAATTGCCCCACAGGGTTTCCAAGGAGCAGTTGGTGGATTCGAACTGCCGACCTTTTGGTTAGCAGCCAAGCTCTAAATAAGTATACAAAAACTTGAAGAGAGAGAGAATTTAGTGCTGTATATTTATTTATTCAATAGAAGAAAGAGCCAGCACTTATTTCATGTCAAATCTGTACTATCTCACCACTCAATATGGGCTAGATAAATAATACTAAAACACAACAATGTTTAAAGAAATACATTCACTAGAAGATACACCAATGATTAAAGCAATAGTATTGACATAGAACTCAGAGACTATAAAGAGGCAATGGACAGAAAAAACCTGTAAGTACAGAAGTAGAATAAGATTGCAATAAATGAAGTTAAGGTGACTTAAATAAGCAGTGCACTTACACTGAAAGCAATGTAATCATTATTCAGGATTGAATGAGAGAGTCTTACCTGAGTGAGGAACACATGCAATACATAAAACAAATAAGAATAGTTGAGGACCTGGCTTCCATTTCCAGTGATAGCTCCACATTCGACCTGCGTGAAACATCCTGCAAAGGGAAGAAAGTAAGACTCAGGACACTAAGCATTCAGTAAAGCATTGATATTAATAGTAAAAGTAGCTTTCCAGCAGGCACTGTAAAATAGAAACCTTTTTTAGTCTTGCTTCCAAAATAAGTTAATTAACCGCTTGTCATAGAGTTGATTCCGACTCATGGCAAACCCATGTGTTGCAGAGTAGAACTGAGCTCCCTAGGGTTTTCTTGGCTATAATCTTTACAGAAACAGACTGTTGCTGGGTGAGTTTGAACCACCAACCTTTTGGTTAATTGTTGTTGTTAGTTGCCGTCAAGTCGATTCCAACTCATGTCGACCTCATGTAGTCAAGTGCAAACCATATTGCGTCACCAAGGGACCTTTAAGTTAATTAGGCAAAAGGTAGAAACAAAATCATGTATAGTAAAACCTGTGAAAGCCAGAACCTGTGTAAGATGGAAACCTGTCAGAGAAGGAAAACTCAAAACTAAAACAAAGTAGGATTCTTAGTAGACAGCAATAGTAAGCAGCCTGTCATAAAGACAGAAAACTTGCAAGACCTGCAAAAACAAGGCAGTCTCGTTGAGTTCGGCTCTCACAGGTTTCAGTGTATTTTATTTACTAATTGGTTCCACTTTCCTTACCAGAGTATATATAATAAGTGATTTCTGCATGAAGACAGGAAATATTCAGACAATTAAAAAAGAAATCACTTATATAAAAAAAATAGAACAATTTCAGCCTCAGCATCAACAGACACAAGTCTACTTGGGTAGCAAGAAGATGTTTATATCAATCTCCCCTAAAGAGTCCCAGAAATTCTCACTTTAAGAAATGTTTTCATTTTATAAAATTTGCTACATTACAAATGGAAATATATTCAAAATAAAATTAAATTGCTCAAGCTCTCTTCTTCCCCCTAAAATGAAGCATGGAAGAATTAATTTTAAAAAAGACTAATTTCTTGATATTACAATAGCTATCAATGTTTCTAAATGCTAGTAGACCTGGTGGCGCAGTGGTTAAGCGTATGGCTGATAACCAAAATGTCAGCAGTTCGAATCCACCAGCCACTCCTTGGAAACCCTATGGAACAGTTCTACTCTGTCCTACAGGGTCGCTGTGAGTCGGAATCAATTTGATGGCAACAGACTTAGTTTTTTGGGTTTTTTTAGTAGATTAGATGGAGGGGTGGTGCTTTGAAAAATCTCATAAGCCTTCTGTACAATGGTTTTATGTTTAAAGTGAAAAATTAATTTCATACTGATTAAGAACAAAAAGCTACTGCTGTCAAGCAGACTCTAGCTCATACAAGACACAGTAGAAAACTGTCTCATAGGGTTTTTAAATTCTAACTGCTGACCTGGTTAGTAGTCGAACTGATTTAGAGAGGAACATCTGCATCATCTTGGTTCAAAATGATGGTATGCTATCTTTCATTGACTCAGCACCATCAAAGGAGGCAAGCCAGTGAAGGGGGCACCAAGAATAAAAGTCAGTTGCCAAAAGGGACCATAGGTGGATTGGTTAGCCAGAGAGTCGTGAAGTGGCCAGGCAATTAAATAACAGTAAGAAATCTCCAGAACAGATCACAACAGAGGGTCCCAGACAGAGCTGGAGAAAAATATAGAACAAAATTCTTACTCACAAAAAAAGACTACACTTATTGGCCTGACAGAGACTGGAAAAACCCCAAGAATATGGCCCTCAGACATCCTTTTAGCTCAGTAATGAAGTCACTCCTGAGGTTCACGATTCAGCCAAAGATTAGACAGCCCCATAAAACAAAACGAGACAAATGGGGCAGAACAGTCCAGGGACAAGGATTAGAAGGCAGGAGAAGACAGGAAAGCTGGTAACAGGGAGCCCAAGGTTGAGAAGGAACAGTGTTGACATGTCGTGGCATTGTTAACCATTGACATAAAACAATGTGTACTAACTATTTAATGAGAAACTATTGGTTCTGTAAACCTTTATCTAAAATACAATAAAAAAAAAACTACAAAAAAAATAAATTTCCAGAACCTCTCAAGATCTCTAACAAGCGAGTGTTACCTTTACAATAAAGGGTAATTGAGAGTTATTTTATTTCTATAAAGAAAGGCAAATAACAAGATACTTTGGGGTCACAGTAATACCTTCTATACCTGAAAGTTGCACACCTGGGGGAAAATGTATAATGCTAAAGAGAAAACCAGAAAAGTAGAAAGAAAATACTAGATTAAGCTAAAATAGATATCAAGTAATTCCTGAGCTTCACTCAAGCTTCTATTTCAAATCTGTCTCTTATTGTGAGAAACCATGTAGTAGCAAACAGAACAAGCCCTAGAATCAGACAGACCTGAGATTGCTATTTACGAACCATGCAACTCTTGGAAATTTTACTTGACCACCTTGTGCTTCCTATTCCTCATCAGTAAGATAGGAGCAGCATTCATACCTACTCCACAGAGCTGCTGAGATGATTCACTAAGATAACTTCTTCTCAGAATAGTGCATAACACTCAGCAAGCTCTCAATTCACCCCTTGCCCTTGAGTCGATCCTGACTCATAACGACCTTACAGGACAGAGTAAAACTACCCCATACGGTTTTCCAGGCTGTAATCTTTACAGATCAAAAGAGATCAAAAGATCTCTTTAAAGTGTTAAAAAGCAAAGATGTTACTTTTGGGACTAAGGTGCACCTGACCCAAGCCACAGTGTTTTCAATCGTTTTATATGCATGTGAAAGCTAGACAATGAATAAGGAAGACTGAAAAAGAATCGATGTCTTTGAATTATGGTATTGGTAAAGAATACTGAATATATCATGGACTTCCAGAAGAATGAACAAACCTGTCTTGGAAGAAGTACAGCCAGAATGCTCATTAGAAGCGAAGATGGGGAGACTTCATCTCACATACTTTGGACATGTTATTAGGAGGGACCAGTCCCTGGAGAAGGACATCATGCTTGGTAGAGTAGAGGGTCAGAGAAAAAGAGAAAGACTCTCAACAAGATGGATTTACACAGTGGCTGCAACAATGAGCTCAAGCATAACAAAACTTGTGAGGATGGCATAGGACCAGGCAGTGTTTCACTTTGTTGCACACAGGGTCACTATGAGTCGGAACCGACTCGACAGCACCTAACAACAAACAACAATCTTTACGGAAGCAGATTGCCACATCTTTCTCCCACGGAGCAGCAGGTAGGTTCAAATTGTTGACCTTTAGGTTAGCAGGCAAGTGCTTAACCACTGTACCACCAGGGTTCCTATCATGAACTGAATTATGACCCCCCAAAAATGTGTGTATCAGTTTGGCTGGGCCATGATTCCCGGTATTGTATGATTTTCCTATATGTTGTAAATCCTGCCTCTATGATGTTAATGAGGGAGGATGGGCAGCAGTTGTGTTAGTGAGGCAGGACTCAATCTACAAGATTGGACTGTGTCCTGAGGCAATCTCCTGAGATATAAAAGACAGAAGTGAGCAGAGAGACGAGGGGGACCTCATACCACCAAGAAAGCAGTATCAGGAGCAGAGCGTGTCCTTTGGACCCAGGGTCCCTGCGTGGAGAAGCTCCTAGTATGGGGGAACACTGATGAGAAGGCTGACAGAGAGAGAAAGCCTTCCCCTGGAGCTGACACCCTGAATTTGGACTTTTAGCCTACTTTACTGTAAGGAAATAAACTTCTCTTTGTTAAAACCATCCACTTGTGTGGTATTTCTGTTATAGCAGGACTAGATAACTAAGACAGTTCCCAATAGATATTAGCTATTATTATTGTTACTATCATCCCACCAGGAAATCCTGGTGGTATAGTGGTTAAGAACTATGGCTGCTAACCAAAAGGTTAGAAGTTCGAATCCACCAGGCGCTTCTTGGAAACCCTATGGGGCAGTTCTGCTCTGTCCTATAGGGTCGGTATAATTCAGAATCGACTCGACAGCAATGGGTTTTTAACAGGTATCATTCCACCCAAAAACCCACTGCCGTCGAGTCCATTCCAACTCATAGCAACCTTGTAGAACACAGCAGAACTTCCCCGTAGGGTTTCCAAGGCTGTAAATCTTTAAGGAAGCAGACTGCCACATCTTTCTTCCAAAGAGCAGTTGGTAGGTTCGAACATTTAAGTTAGCAGCCTAGTGTTTAACTACTGCACCACCAAGGCTCCTAGATATTCTAATATCAACTTGGTTACCTTCTCCACAGTGAAATCAAAAGAAAAGACTTAAACGAATGCACAATCGGATATGCGAACACCAAAAACTGACTTTGGGGCCACTTTTGGGATCACCTGGGAACAAAAATGAAATTGATTATTCACATTTGTCATACATACAGAAATTCTGAGTAGAGTCGGAAACTCATACCAGACTTTCATATTCACCAAACTAGAAGTTCCAGTATAATGCATCCCCTAATGGAATGCTAAATTAGGAGAAATGCTAAACTAGGAGTCCTAAACTAGGACTATTTTTTGTAATGGAAGGTATGTTTTCAAAAACATCCATACAAAATATTTGAAATTAAAAGCAGTTTCACTGCTTAGGAGAAACAATGTTATAGTAAATAATAATAATAGTAGTAGTAGTAATAATAATAATGGATATGAACTCTGGAATGGCACATACTTACATCCTGGTTCCTCAACTAGCTGTGTGATTTAGGGGACAAGTACTTATTTCCTCTTCTGTAAATAGAATGCTATCCACAACAAAGAACTAGAGATAACAGAGCATGACACTAGTAGGGGCTTTAAAAAGGGTTGTTGTTGTGTGACATTGAGTCACTTCTGACTCATAGTGACCCTACAGGATAGAGTAGAACTGCCCTATATGGTTTCCTAGGCTGTAATCTTTACAGAAGGAGATAGCCAGGTCTCTTCTCTGGAAGAGCAACTGGTGGGTTTGAACTACCAACCTTTCGGTTAGCAGCGGAGGACTTAACCAATGTGCCACTAGGGCTCCTTTTTTAAAAGGGTAACTACCATTAAGGCAATAAACTTCTGTCACATGGGAAGTTCACTCATTTGGAAAAATGGGCTCATTTCCATGGATGTTAGATGAATGAGGTGTTTCCCATTCATGCCACAATGAGTATGCTTCTAAAACAAAAGCACAATTATACACTCAAAGAAGTTTAGCGCTGGAAGAGGCAAAGATGAAGTCTAACGTCATTTCACAGAGGAGGAAACTAAGGCTCAGAGACATAAAAGGACAAATCAATCAAACCTGGCTTCCAGCCTTACAGATATTAACAGAAGTATCAGTCCAAGAGAACTCCCAGGTCTACTCTTTGTAGTACATGACTACTCTTTGTAGTACATCCTTTATTATCAATATGTGAATAATGGTTCCCTCCTAAATTCATGTGCTCTCTAAACAATACTCAGGGATTCATGCTCATTAGCTTGGCTACACTCAATACTTTCTATTTTATTTGCTCATGCAACTTTCTCACTGCAAAAGGTTCTGACATTTACTGATTCCATAGTCAATCTTGAAGTTGTTTTACAAAAGCTGCCGGCAATTCTATCAAGCAATAGCTGCAAATGATGACAAAGGGCTTGATGCATTCCAGTTCTCAAGGCTCCATCACTTTGTACAGAAAAGGAACCCAGGACAGGGCAAGCATTTGTAACCAAACATAAACCATATGACATGTCAACTTTCATCCACTTTACTATTTACTGAAGAAGAGAAACAAATTAAGAATAGAACAGAGGAAGGACAGAACTGTGCGTCTTCTCAGGGGATCACTTAGCAAAGACACATCCCTGAGATTTAAACCATTTTCTCACAAGGATGGAAAATCCTAAACAGGGTTACTAAGGTTCTAAATAGGAACTATAAAAAACTACAATCTTGTGTCCAATTTTGGTTGTGGCCTCAAAGTTCTACTGAAAAGAGCAGGAGTATGTTTATATAAAGAGAGATTTTGACTTCTAGAACCTGAAAGAAATTTAAAGATTATGAGGTAACACCCATCATCTAACGGGTGAAAAATTAAGATGCTAAACTACGTGCCCAAGATTACATAACCAGTTGTGGGGAGAGGGAGGGACAAAAGAGCACCTATGTCACCTGAGGTCCAACCCAGAGGTCCTTTGTAAAAACCAAGCTACTCTGTTGCAAACTTGCTCCTATTTTCCATCTGTATAGGCTGCAAAATACAATATGCTGAGTCCTGTTAAAGGAAACTTTAGAATTTAATCCTTTTATAGGAATTGTTTTAAACATAGGGATGATCACTTGTAGATGTGACTTTATCCAAATGCATCACTAAAATAATCTAGAAAACTCTACCATCTCCCATTTCCCTACTCCTAGTGGCTTTCCCAAAAGTTGCAATTTAAAGAGAAATGAATGAAGAAATTTTGAAATTAGTGGAGAAATTGATACGGTACTAATTCTATTAAAATCACTAATAGTCAGACTTAACTTCCTTTCCCATATCCCAGTTGCATTTCTATGGCAAATCTTTTCAGAAAGGGACGTGAGGAGTGCCAGAGAGAATACCTTAATTCTTACAGAGTGAAAAGAACGGTAATTTGGTTTATTCAAGTCTGCCTGTAATTGTATTTCTTCTTCTGGTTAAAGATCATGTTCCTGAGTCTAAGCAATGAATAAAAGAAAAAGTGCTATTCTATTACTCAATCTAAATCCTTTAACTAAGTTAGGTTCACTCCACCCTTCAAAAACGCTGAAAGAACGGGGATTGGACAGTCCCATAAAACAAAAAGGGACTAATGAAGCACAGCAGTCCAGGGACAAGGACTAGAAGGCAGAAGGGGACA